CAGAGATGCCAGTGGGTGCAGTGGGTGCAGAGGTGCCAGTGGGTGCAGAGATGCCAGTGGGTGCAGTGGGTGCAGAGGTGCCAGTGGGTGCAGAGGTGCCAGTGGGTGCAGTGGTGCAGTGGGTGCAGTGCTGCCAGTGGGTGCAGAGGTGCCAGTGGGTGCAGTGGTGCAGTGGGTGCAGTGGTGCCAGTGGGTTCAGTTGTACGGTGGCCGTTCTGTGGGTCGAGGGAGAGGGGCCAGCAATCAGCTTAGGGCACCCAGATATTGGGAGGGGAGGAGAGCAGCGGGGGCAGGGCCTGAGGCGGAGCTGGCGGGGGTCTGTGGACCCTGCGCAGGCCTCACCACACTGTAGGCCGGTCTGGCCTGCTGTCTGCTCAGCTGGCAGTGGGTGGCACCGGGCTGGTGTATGACTTATGCTATCCCTTGCTTTGTGCTGAGCAAGCCTTAGACTGAAGAACTAGCAGAGTGGACCCTCGGCCGGTAAGCCAGGGCCCCGCCTCCCTCAGCATGTCCCCAGCCAGCGTGTGTCCTCGCCAGCTAGCTGGCTCTGGCCTTGGGGTTGGGGGATGGTGGTTTTTGGGGTGTATAGTCCATGATGGCTGATGGGGTCAGCAGCATACAGGGCCTACACTGGTGCCTCAGTTTCTTAGCTGTAAGACTAGTGTTGGGGTGAGGGGTGAGATGTTGTGCTGGCCCTGTTCCCCCTTCCGCCCTGTGTCCTCTCCCCCACCCCCAGTGTCCCCAGTGTCTCTGTTGCTGCCGCCATATCCCATCTCCTGTTTGGGGCAGGGCCCGCCCAGCCCTCCCGTCTGCATGGCCACCCCTCGCGCTCCTGCTCAGGCCTGCTCGGTCCCTGGCTCTCTGGGAGCAGCTGGGGGTCCTGGCAGCCAGCTTGGTACTGACCTTGCCCTTCTCCCCCTTTTCACTCCTAGGGAGCAAAAGCAGTGGGTCCACCCGGAGCAGCCGCCGGGCCGCAGGCCGGGCCGCCGGGGCTGGGGGCAGCGGCAGTGAATCGGATCCCACGGTGCCAAGTGGGCCGGGCAGCACCGGCTGGCAGGAGCACCCCGCCAGCCAGCTCAGCCGAGGCAGCAGTCCTCGCAGCCAGGCCTCCACGGTCGCCCCAGGACTCCCCCCACTGCACCCCCGGACAAAGGCTTGTGCCATGGCAGGGGGGCCCCCAGGAGGGCCGCCTGTCCGGGAGCTGGCCGCTGTCCCGCCGGAGTTGACAGGCAGCCGCCAATCCTTTCAGAAGGCCATGGGGAACCCCTGTGAGTTCTTCGTGGACATCATGTAGACAGCGGCCAGTGCCTTCAGCCCTGCCCAAAGCAGGGGAACGGATGGTCCGTGGGCTTGCCTTAGTGGCTGTGGGGTGCCGGGACAGGGTAGGGGAGAGGGGCTGAGGGCAGCCGCGCTGCTGGGATCTGGCTTGCCTGCTTATCCCAGGGCCTCCTGGCGGAGCGGCCCTGGCCCTGCAGACCTGTCTGTGTTCTCGCGCAGGTTTGACTAGAAGCGTGACCCTCAGCATGAGGCTCGGGCTCCCAGCCCCCTGCTAGGACGAGAAAGACCCTTCTGGGCTCCATGTTCCCCCCGCGACCCCCTGAGCTGTATACAAAACAGGGCCACAGACTAAGCCAGGCCCAAATGCCTCCACCCAGTTCACTGAGGGCCTTGTCCTTCAGACCCAGGTGGGGCTCCTAGGAGTCGGATGGAGTCCCAGGCCTCTGCTGTCCACGTGGGATGTAACTTATTTATTTATTGCTGGCCTGCCCGCTCTGGGGGTGGGGGGCAGCCGGGGCATTTTGCATGTTCCCCTTCCCTCCTGGGACTCAGAGCAAGCATGAGGAACATAGGCTACGACCGAAAGACATGGGGAACACGGGAGAGGCTGGTGACGGCACAGTGCGCCCTGGCCTGGCCGTGGCTGAAGGGTGGTGTGCGGATGCCGCGGGAGTGGGTTCTTAGGGGGATGGCGGCAGCACACGAGGTCCTCAGCGGCCGCATTCCGGCACACGCCGCCACCTTCCGGGGCCCGGGCACCTACGCTGTAGATACTCTGTCGACGTCTGAGTGTCTGGGTAGTTCCTGTAGAGCTGCTTCTGTGTAAATGCTGCTTCTGTGTAAATGCTATTTTAAACACTAAAAAGCATTTAATTTTATGGGACCGACCCGTGTCCTTGTTTCCTCTTCTCCATCTTGCTACCTCAGGATCAAGATGTGGGAGCCAGTGCAGAGCTGTCCTGGGCCTCTGGACTGGGGCAGCCCTGCTCCTGGCCGGTGCTCCACCCTCAGGCTCACCTCAGCCACCGGCTCCTCCCTCATCTGGCTGGCGTTCCGTTCTTGGTGCTGACTTCCGACTTCAGGGGGCCTTGGCAGCTGGTGCTGGCCATGGTGCTGACCCTCTGGGCTCTGGCTGAGGTGCTGGTGCTGGCATAGCACCAGTGGCCCTTTCCTACTGGTGGGGCTGGGTTTGGAAGAAGGAAGCCGAGAGCCCTTTTTCCTCCCTTGAATGGGCTTCTACCACGCTGGACAGCCATGCCCAGCCTTCCACTGTGATTCCAGCCTGAGGTGCCGGGTGGGGGCCCCAGATTGAGCATAGCCAATTAAGCAAGTAGTACTGGCTTCCCAAGGTTTCCTTGAGCTCAGGGTGTGGCTTCAGGTTCATGAGAAACCCATATGGGCTACCACCTGGAACACTAGGCCCCGCCTGCCTGGGCAGGTTTGGCTGGGGCGTACATAGTAGGATCTAGAACAACCTGCTGTGGAGAGGCCAGGACCGCCCTGCATCTTGAAGATCCAGGGCTACTGTGGAGCTGAAATCCACCAACAACTTGGAGATGGAGTTGAGCTGGAGATCTGGGGGTGTCAACTGGGGATCCCGAAGTTTCCAACTAGGGGTTCCTACTGGGGCTGGGGTCCCTGTGTGGGAGGTGTCAGGTCAGGACTACGTGTTGTATCTTCGAGCGCCCCTCTGCCCCGGCTGCTGCTCGCATCTGCTGTAGCCCTGGGGCTCCCTCCTAGGAAGAACTCAGGGGTGTTGAGGTTTGGCTGCCACAGAAGCAGGTAGCACTTAGGCAGGTAGAAGTTGGCCAGGATGCCCAAGGCACAGAACAGGATGGCACCCATCTGCACCGCAGGCTGATAAATGACCGGCACATTGGCCAGGAGAGGCACAAACAAGACCCAGGTGATGAAGTAGACCAGCATGGCGAAGGTGAGACCCCGAGCGCGGTTATAGCAGCCAGGCCGGGTCTGAACCAGGAAGGTGCCAAGGAAGCAGAGGAAAGCCAGGGCGGCGTTGGTGACGTGCACCAGGCCCAGGCTGGCCCAGGAGTGCATTTGGCAGTGCACCAGTGCCTCGGTGGGCAGCACCTGCCAGTCGGTCACTAGGCGTGGCGGGGACGCTGCCAGGTACCAGGCGCACAGCGTGGCTTCCGCCAGGACAGCCAGGAGCACCAGCAGCCAGGCCCAGGGCCCGTGCAGGGGGCCGCGGAGCCAGGCTGCCCAGCGCGGCGGCAGCTCCGACTCTGCAAAGGCCTCCACTGCCTGCAGGAAGAGTGTGCTCAGGCAGCCTGTGAGCGGGAGGTGGGCCAGGGGCTGCTGAGCCACGCAGCTGGTGGGTCCTGGCTGGCCTGGGAACAGGAGGACACTGAGGCAGACAAGGCTCAGGCAGGCCAGGCCAAAGCAGGCCAGAGGCCCGCCTGAAGCCCGCACCAGCGGGCTAGCCCGGTGGCACAGGAAGAGCCCTAGAGCAGCCAGTGCCAGCCCCAGCACCAGGCTGAGCAGCAAGAGCAGCAGCAGCACCGCAGGCTCCCCCCATGCCAAGAACCTGGGCCGGCGGGGAAAGCAGCGCGTGCTCCGCCCTGGGGACCACTGGTCCTGTTCACACGGGGTGCAGGTGAGGTCGTCTGTGGGGTGGGAGGGATGAGGATCATCCGGTGAGGGCTGGAGCTGGGGGCCCTGGCCTCCGCCGCAGAGCCAGCGCTCTGCCCGAGCACCACGGGCCGTCCTGGGGAGGCTGCTCACCTGGACTCTGCCGGTAGCTGCCTGCCTTGCAGTCTATGCAGTCATAGCAGCAGGAATGGAAGCCTTTCACTCGGCGGACCTGTCCCTCCTCACACTGCCGGGAGCACTGGGACACTGGTACCTGGGCACAGGGCCTTGGGTCAGGCTTTGTTCACGGGTGCCCTCCCTCTACCCAGACATCCTAAGTCCCCAAGGCTGTCTGGCGGACCACGCACCTTGCACCCACCTCCTTGCTTGGCCACCGCATCTGTGAGGGCTGTAGCCAAAGGCTGCCGTTGAAGGTGCCCACAGTGAGCAGTACCGGTGTGGGGCTCTGCCACACCCACATCTTCAGGTCATACTCCACCTCCACACTCCCTTTGTCATTGAACTGCAGCACCAGCTCTCGAGCTTGGAAGCTCAGGTTGTACATGTTCTTCAGGAGCTGAGGGGACGGGTGGGGTGGAGAAAAGGCCGACCTAGGAGCCACCCAGCCAACAGGCTTTGACCTTGCCTGGTGACCCGGAGCTCCTTCAAGGACCAACTAAAGCTCGGTTCTTACCTGCCACGGCTGCAGCTGCCCTGGCGCGGCGCAGCTGGAGGCGTTGCACCGCAGAGCGGTGTGAAGGGCCTGGGCCACGCTACGCACGGCTGCATAGGTGGCGAAGATCTGGTGGTGCAGCTGCCCAGCCGACAGGTTCTGCAGCAGCCAGCTGGATAGGTTGCGCAGGGTGATGTGATCGCACTGCGGGCAGCGTGGCCCCATCACCCGCTCCTCCTGGTCTTGTTCAGCATTCAGCGAGGCACAGAAGGCCGGGTCAGCAGCCAGGGCCAGCCGGGTCTCCACATAGTGGGAGAATTCAGGCAGCAGCGTGCCCCGCTGCAGAAAGCCAAGCACAGTGCCCACCTGGGCGATGTTGGGCAGTGACAGGAGCAGGTCTGAGGTCAGCCAGGCCTCGCTGGCCACCCAGACTTTGGGCGAGAGCCGGTGGTAGATACTGTAACTGAAGAGGGAGTGGACGGCTCGGGCAGAGGCAAACAGCACCACCACCTCCACTTTGCTCTGGTTCACTTGGTGCAGGACATCTGGGAGCTTGCCCAGGGGCTGGCTATCGATGCGGGGCAGCGGCACCAGGCCCTCATGTGCGATGCAGATGCCCTGTGCATTGGCCAGGCCCGAGAAGATACTCAGACCCTCCCGGCCATAGTCATCATTGCTGCCCAGGGCTGCCACCCAGTTCCACCGGAATTTCTGCAGCAGCGCCACGATGGCCTCTAGCTGTGTCCGGTCGCTGGGCACCGTGCGGAAGAAGGCCGGGAATGTCTCCCGGTCGCTCAGCCGATCCATGCTGGCGCTGTAGCTGACCTGTGGTGGACAAGACGCCTTCTGATGGGGGGTGTCCCGTCGACTTGGCTGGCTGGGGGTGGGGGGAACAAGGCAGCTTACCTGTGGCATGAGGAAAAAGCTGAAGAACTTGCCGGTGATGAGGGCTAGCTCTGAGGTGTGGGGCCCGATGACTGCCAGCACGCGGGGCTGGTACTTTGTGTAGTTGCAGTAGGCGGCGATGCGGTAGCTGCCTGCTTTGGCCAGGAACATGAGGCTGGGCTTTATGGTGACCACAGGCTCTGAGCAGGTGTCATACAGGTCATAGCCCAGGTGTACTCCAGGCAGCAGGGCAGACCCATTGTTGATCTCCTCCACTGCCATCTTCATAGCCATCGCCAGAAACAGACCCAGGGACGAGAGCCTGAGGCCAGCCGCGGAGGGACGTGGTGACTGCCAGGGCGCCCCCCCCCCCGGGCACTGCCCTCCCTCCTCACCCTTGCTGCTGCCTCTGTACCTGGTGCACACGATGCCATTGGGTCGTATCCTGTGGTGGAGGCTGGCCTCCTCTGCCAAGCCCAGGGGGAAGAGCCCGCCCAGCACATACTCCCCTTGTGCCCGGAGCTGCTGGGACAGGCAAAAGGAAGCCCCGGTCCTGAGGCCCAGTGAAGCCACCAAGCTGAGGCTTAGGAGAACTGGGCCCAGCATGGCAGGTAGCAGCTTCCAGCAGGGAGGAGTGGAGCAGTGGGGCTGGTGGGAGCACATGTAGCCAGTCCAGAGGGAGGGGCTGGAGGATTTGCTTAGCAAAACTAGTGCCATGCTCAGCCTCCAAGTTCCTGGGGGCCGGAGCAACTTCCTCACTACTTCAGGCCTGGAAGTGTGTGCACACCGGGCTCCTGTTCATATATTCCTGTCCTCACTACCTCAGGCCTGTGTGCACACCGGGCTCCCATTCATGTATTCCTGTCTGGCCCCTCTGGTCAACAGCTATCCAGCAGGCCGGCTCTGCCAAGGCCCAAGCTGCTTGGCAGTTCCCACCCTCAAAGCAGCATGGCAGAGTGGAAAAGGGCAGAGGGCAGAGAGGCGTCCTGGGCTCTGTGTGTGTGTCTCAGCCGCCTGCAGGAGGGCTGAGGTGGCAGAAGTGTCCCAGGGCTTTTTATAGGCACAGAAACCCTCTCTCCCCAGCTCTGGGAAGGTCTGGTCCCAGTTCAAGGTGCACATAGGGATAACCCTGCCAGACCCCCAGAACGCTGGGACGGTGGGCAGGCAGTCCAGCTAGGAAGGGTCACCTGAGGCTAGGGTGGAGTGCCAGCTAACTGATGGCTACGGCCGCCCGGCCTCCTGGCCCCAGCCGTTCCTCTGCCAGGAGTCTGACACCCAGAATGCGGACGCCTGCCCGGGCTTTACCACCTTAGCAGGTGCCTCTCTGGAGACAGCTCACAGCTTCCTTAGGGAGGGGCTCATGCAAACAAGGGAGGAAATGCAGTAACCAAATGGGCTGGTGCACCTGATGCAGGTGTGTGCCCATGCGGGGAGGGTGGATAGTCCTCCCCGCCCCCCCCCCGGCCTTTCCTGGGCTCCCAGTCTGCCCCTTGGGCCTGGGTCTGGGGGAGAAGCCTCCATGACACAGTGAGCGTCCAGCTCCCTGGCCCAGCTAGGGGCAGCCAGCGCTATTCCCATTACGGAGTTCAGAGTGACCCACAAGCTCCCAACACCCGGGGCACTGCCTTACTGTCCAACCTGGAGCTGGGGCTGAGACTCTTGACCTGCGAGGGTTTCAGCTTCAGCTGGCCCTGTCTCTTTCTTGCTGCCCAGTGAGGCCCATAAAGCACAGGAAAGTGTGCAAACGGCTTGGCACAGTGAGGCCCGTAAAACACAGGTAAGTGTGCAAATGGCTTGGCACACTGAGGCCCGTAAAGCACAGGTAAGTGTGCAAATGGCTTGGCACACTGAGGCCCGTAAAGCACAGGAAAGTGTGCAAACGGCTTGGCACAGTGAGGCCCGTAAAGCACAGGAAAGTGTGCAAACGGCTTGGCACAGTGAGG